TGCATGGCGGAATGTCTTGATTTTTATTTCGCCGTCCATGTCCATAACAGCAACTGTTGTTTTTGAGTCACTTCTTATACACGTCGTCACACACACTTAGCTCATGCCGTAGCTATCTTCCTAAAAGAGCACTGATTTGTCTGAACCACTGTGGCAAGATGGATTCTCTTGTGATTTCCCGATCTCTCGAGCCGAGCTGCCTCGCAAGATTAGCCTCTCTGGGCCGCTCATAAGCAAATGTTGGTGTGTTTCTTTTATACTTATAAAGATTGGGGGTATAACATAAGTTTCCTGTAAGGTCTGTGAGAAACTACATGTGGAGAAAATTTGGGCAAGAAATTTGAAAAACAAATTGTTTGAGTGGTTGGGATGAGTGGCTGTGAATATGTGGAACTGAAAATAAGCACGAATTGCAACTTTCAGCAAAATCACATTTCGGCCACATGCCTCTTTCCTTCCCACAGAAAACTACGGCGTGACTACCCTTCCAAGATCCTGATGAACCTCAGCACGTCTTTGCTGTTCCTGAACATGGTCTTCCTGTTAGACGGCTGGCTAGCCAGTCTGGAAACCGATTGGCTGTGCCTGTCTGTTGCTGTCTTCCTGCACTACTTTCTGTTGACCTCCTTTACCTGGATGGGGTTGGAATCCATCCACATGTACATTGCCCTGGTCAAAGTCTTCAACACCTACATACGCCGATACATCCTCAAGTTCTGCATTGTCGGATGGGGTAAGGGCCTTAAACTGTGATAATAAGATAAGAAAACATAGGAAAATAGGCAGCTTTTTGCCTCTGCATATTAACGTATTTTGGGTAAAAACAGGCAATTAGGGAGGGACTTAACTAGCCAATAGTGCTTTCAAAAGCACATCCAAACTGGGACTACCAGGAATACAGCATCCAATGCTGATAGAGGACAGTTTGACTACAGGGAATAAAGTACAAACATGGTTTTATTGCTGGTTTTAGTCAGCTAATGTTAGCTGCACGAGCTAACTAGCTAACATAACTGTTGGTGATAGTTAGCTTCTTTTAGCAACAAGTCCATCTGGAAACTCCATAAATCACCTTGGTACCGCTGTTGTCAAACTGTCCTCTGTCTGTCTCGGAGGTTGCGTTCATTCTTACATAAGTGCGTCACATTTTGATTTACAGGAAGACAAAATTATTGGATTTTGACAAAAGACAAGAACGAAGGAATCAAGTTTTTGTATTTTTTTTGGTGTACATCGTTAAATATGGGAACAATATGATTGAGGATGCAATCTTAAAGGGTAAAAATTACATTTTTCATTTCACCTGGAGATTAAAATAGTTAAAACACTGCCACAGTTGATGATTTAGTGTCAATTTGAACGTAATTGCTGAGTGAAGCTGAAGAGTCCAGCCCGTTCTCATCATCAAATACCACAGTTTTGTCACGACTTTTGGCATCTCCATACAGACGCACAAGTTGCCCTTTCATCAAATTCCAGTGTTACCCATTGGTGTCATAGTGTGAACAGGGGACTCTTTATCTATATTTACGTTGCAGGCCAATGTGTTACATGTAAAAAAAGTAGCTGCTCACTCTAGTTTTTAATCAAACAAACAGGAAATAGTGCATTTGTTGGGGCCTATTTTCAGTGTCGGATTAATCCATATTTGGAGTTCTAGTGAGTAGTTGGGGCAGCTGTAACTTGGTAATCCAACTGATTTTATTTTTCATTCGTAAAAATGTGATAACTGGGTGATTATTGACTTGGCAGCAACAAAAGAGTCCAGAAAGGAACAACACTGATGTTCAACTGTGGATTGTGTGTCTTGTTCCAGGTCTGCCGGCAGTGCTGGTCGGGATTGTTGTTGCTATTGATAAAAACTCTTACGGCTTGCAGGAGTACGGCAAAGGAGAGTCAGGAGAGGGATCCTCAGAGTTGTAAGTGACCACAGAAGTAAATACATAGAGACAATACAGTCAAATATTTGTAACATAAACTTTTTCTTGCTTCATCAAAATCTCTCTGATGAAGTTCTTACATGAAGCATACAACATAATATACAGGAGGTCCTTTTTATTCATTATATTACTGTCTGTCCTCAGCTGCTGGATCCAGAATTCAGTCGTCTTCTACATCACCTGCGTAGGTTACTTCTGTCTGGTGTTTCTGCTGAACGTGGCCATGTTCATCGTGGTGATGCTGCAGATCTGTGGCCGCAACGGCAAACGCAGCAACCGCACGCTGCGAGAGGAGGTAAGTATTCATGCTCAAAGTAGTTTCCTCTGACTTCTTATGATTAAATGTCACTTTTACCTCACCTTATGCCGTTTAAAGTTTTACATTTACACAGATGAACGGTCATAGAAGAGTAGAGAATTATGTCATAACCTCAGACAGGGCGTCATATTGAGCTGTGATCTGCAGCTAAGAAATGTAATTTCATTACTACTACTAGTGTGTAGGATTTAGTGGCCTCTAGTTTCAAATTGCAAATAACTAAACAACGCTTGCATCTGTATTTGATGACATGGGAATAAGAACGGCCTTTGAAGACTAAGAAGTCTCAAGTGAAGAGTTTCGAGTCTTAAATACTCTTGGAAGTGAATTAAAAATGTCAAGACTTTATGCACTTCAAGAAACCAAAGGTGGGACCAAGTCATTGGTTTGTCACAAGTAAGTCTCAATTCTTTGCACCTAAGTCTCAAGTCCTAAATTTTGAGTTTTTTAGTCCTAAAAAAGTCAGAATTCACTCTTCACCAAACTTGCAAAACAATGACTTGGTCCCACCTCTTGAAGCACACTAAAAAGTTATGATACATGTTTAATTCAATGCTACGGTGACTCCATCTGAGTCAACAATTCTGGCATTTCTGACTGCAGAAAAGGATGGAAATAAATCAGTGTGCTCAGTCAGTCACATTCCCCTCTTGGAGGTTTGTACATGATTTACCTGCAAACTGCCAGAGAAGAACCTGTTTTCAACTAGACGTTCCATTCATTTTTAGTGTCCCTGACAAAGTATAATTCATAAAATGGTCAATAAAAATCTTCTTTCTCAAGATTTCATGGCTAAAGTAGAGGCACACTAATGGTACAGAGCCAACATTCGATAAAGGAAGACGGGAAAGAAAAGAAAACACAGAGCATTTAGCAGCACAACTGTGAATGGAAAATCTTCTGTTCCAGGTTCTACGAAATCTGCGGAGCGTCATCAGCCTCACCTTCCTGCTGGGTATGACCTGGGGCTTCGCTTTGTTCGCCTGGGGACCCGTTAACCTGGCCTTCATGTACCTCTTCTCCATCTTCAACTCACTGCAAGGTAACTAGAGTGGGACTAGTTTCTTTTACAGTTAAATAGATATCTGTCTTACATATCTTTTTATCATGTAGTGTTGGGCAGTAACTCATTACTTATAATAATATTACTTTCCCCAGTAACTAGTAGTTTAATTATTATATATAAATGTTATTACAAATATATTTTAGTTACACGCCCAAAAAAATAATTAGTTAGAACATTATTGTGATTTTTGTTGGCACTCCAATTTGAAATCTAATCAAATCAAATTTTTCATCATTTGAAAGCAATCTGACCCAACACTGGTTATATTTTTGTGAATTAAACCCACAAATGAATCAAGCTCAGCCTTTTGGTGCATTCACATGGTGGATGGGATGGGTGGTAGAAACTGGAAAGGTTGTCATGTTTACAAATTCCAAATATTCACACCATCTGCAACAAGCAGTAAAACTGATTTTCTTCCTTCATTACAGGTCTGTTCATATTTATCTTCCACTGCGCCTTGAAAGAAAACGTCCAGAAGCAGTGGAGGAGGTACCTCTGCTGCGGCCGATTCAGGCTGTCAGACAACTCAGGTATCTGTCTCTCTGTCTACCTGTCTGTCTGTCTCTGAAGATTCAGGAAAGAACAATAAAGCTCATTCACGTCTCTCTACAGGAGCCCTGTCAAATCTGTCTGTGGGACTCCGGCCAGATTCCCACAGTTGAAGGCGCTTTATTAAAATATAAAACCTAAGTCAGCGCGGCTTTGCAGCTAATAAAAAAAGATAAAACAGAGTCAACTCTTAAAGGCCAGGTGAACTTAGTCTGTGGATGTTTACTGCTGCCATTTCATTTACAAGAAGGCTGAAAAGTTGGTGCGCTTCCTTTATGCATCTTCATACCAAACCATACCTTCATATTTGTTGTGTGAAAGCATATGAAATGGCATTTAGCCACAGAATTTCTCATGGAAAAGAATCATAGAGGAAAAACAAAACGAGTTTATGTTATTGTTATGTTTTTATTAAAACATCTATACAGTAAAAGTTGCTTTATCTTTTGCCTCCGAGGTAGATGATGAAATTAATGACTGTAATTAGCGGCAACAGGAGCGACCAGGACTAAATAACATTCACGTGTGTGGCAACAATGCTTTGTGACAAAAGATAACAGTATATATAATAAATAATATTTCAACTTTTATTGGACTGATTGCCATAAAACATGGTTCAGACATTCATGTTCCCCTCAGGATGAAGAAACCCTTCCTAAGTCCCGCCTCTTTTTGCTCTGCCTCGATCAGAACCTCGGTTTCTCCTTTCCTGTCTCATGTTATCAAAATGCTAGCTAAGTAGCAAGCTAATATACATCAATTATCAGCTAACTAGTTAGCTAAACTACATCAACTTTTTAGTTACTAGCTAGTTAGTTAAAAAAAACACATTTTATAAGATTACTAGCTAACAATTCAAAACTGATGACATTCTCATCTCATCAGCTGTTCTTTTTAATTAGCAAATGTAAGCACGCTAAACTAAGATGGTGAACATTACACCTGCTTAACATCACCATGTTAGCATTGTCATCTAGCATTAGCTCAAGTATAACTGTTCCACAGTACAGCCTCATAGTTTTATTTAAATGCTAACAACTTTATAGAAGTGCTGTAGTGGAGAAACCTTCAGAAACCTTCAGTAGGTTCCGTCACTGCGGGAGAGCGATTCTCATTTATTTCTTAATTGTAATATTTATATTTGAGCCCCCAAATTGTCCTGAACCTTCCATGAAGCCCATCAGTTTGCAGACATAGGCAATTAAATAAACGTAGCACATCTGTTCTGTATTACTGTATTTATGTTTTTATAATTAATCATGACAGTATCCCATGTTGTGGAGGGGAAAGAAGGTGAGGGGAGACTCCTGAATAGGGAAAGTTGAACGAAAGTGGTTTCTGTGTTGCAGACTGGAGTAAGACAGCCACCAACAACACAAAGAAAGTGAGCTCGGACAACCTGGGCAAGTCTCTCTCCTCCAGCTCCTTCGGCTCCAGCACCGCCAACTGGACCTCCAAAGCTAAAGCTACTCTCAACCCCTTCACCAAGAGACACAGCAACACAGGTGAGACACAGAGACCAGGAGATGAATGATAACAATCAGTCAGTCAGATCTCCATCTCACAGGACAAATGTGAGATGGAGATCCTGTGCGGGGATTAAGAAAAAGATTAACTCTGATTTGTAGTTTCTCCACAGCAACAGATTTTTTTAAAGCTTGTTTTAAGTTTATTTCTCTTTGAAAATACGCATTGGTTTTATTGCTTGAACAATACTTATTCCTGATATTCATGAGTATGTAAATCACCTTGTTTGTTTGATCAATCCAGATTATAACTGTAAAAACCCTCTGATGTGCAATAATCATGTTTACATGCAGACTCAAACATACTGAAACACACACGTAAAAAAAAAAAAGGTTTGGGCACCAAAACTAATTTGCTCTGTTTAGGAAAATATCATGGTTTGGTAAAATAAGTAAGTTATGTTATGTAAGTCACGTGATGGGATGTTATGTAAATGTTTTATATATTCACTGCTACTAGATGTCGCATTAGAGCACCAGCATCTCCGACCAAAACAAATGGACGCTACCCACCAGACTCCATAGACAAAACATTTTTAAAAAATAAAAATTTTTACTGATGCAGATAATCGTAAAACACACCTCAAACTGGACAGGAAGTTTGAGCTGAAGAGAAGAACATTAAGTTAGTCTATCCAACAAAAACAAACAACAAAACAAACAAAATAAAACTCACCAAACCGTCTCTGTTAGTCTTTCAATCACCAACTCTGGTTTGGTGGAAATAAATCCATTATTCCCCGACGTAGATGATAACAGCAGTTTCAGTCATTATACATGTCATTCTCTGCTCAAGACACCATGACTCCATTATATCGCCACATAGCAAATAGTTGTCTGCAGCTATATTGTTTGAAATCTACAGAGCCCCCCTGGTGACATTTGATTAAAAAAAATAATGCGTGGCCACAAGATAATTATTGC